CTTATAAAAATTAAGTAGGGTTTTGGCCTAGGTAACCATGCTGAAATGTGGTTCGAGGTTCTCCCTGGAATCGCTCTCATGGGCGCGTGCTTGTTCTTCCCTGGAATGGCCACTGCGTACATCCATAGGTTCACTGATGGACAAGGAAAAAAGGGTTGCCCATTCTTCATACCTGTGGAGTTTCATGGAAAGAGATCAGAGCGCCTCTGGAGTTAATCGTTACTATATGTCAAAAAGTTTGGAGAATGTCCATTAAGGGAGCCTTTTCCTAATGGAAAAATAACCCACTTATAGTCAGTCATCTACCCCTGCTAGAAGGCTATGCTGTAAGTTATGTAGTGCTTAATAAGAATAAAATGAAGGGGGCCGGCCCTTAGCTCACTTGGGAAAGTGTGGTGCTGATAACACCAAGGCCACAGGTTTGGATCCCCTTACCGGTCATCTTTTTAAAAAAATAAAATAAAAATTAGATGAAAAAGAGGTTCGGATCCCAGTACTGGCCAGCCATAAACAAATAAAATGAGGAAGAAAAAAAGTAAGTAAATAGTTTAGTNCGGGCCGCCGCTGGCCAGGGGGCGGGGGGCGCTCCCCGGCCGGCGGCGCCCGAGAGATGCACGCTTTCGGTAACGGTGCAGGGACTCAGGGCTCAGCCAGGGGAGCGGTAAGGTTTCATTTATTTACGTTTTGAAAGACTCGTTCCAGAGGCTGCTGCAGTCCATGATGAGAGGTGTGGGTGCGGGTGCGTTGGAAAAGGGTGGTGGACGTGGGTTTTGTTTTCCAGGGTCTGGTGCTAGACGACCTGGGGTTGAGGAGGAGAGTGGTGTCATTGATTCCTACGTTTCTCACTTAATCGGTTGCATGAACATTGTTGCTATTTACTGAGATGGAGTAGGCTAAAGTCGGAATTTGTTCTGGACATGTTCTTTTTCCGTCTTTTTTTCACGGCTGGCGGGTATGGGTCGAACCCTTGACCTTGGTGTTATAAACACGTCGTTCTAACCAATTGAGCTAAGCGGCCAGCCCAACTTTTTTTTTCCTGTTTCGCGGAGGCTGGCTGGTACAGGGATTGAACCCTGGAGCTTGGTGTTACCAGCACCGCGCTCTAACCAACTGAGCTGACAGTCTGCCCCCCGGACACGTTCATTTTGAGATCTTGGTGAGTCACGTAAGTGGGATGACAGGCGGGCAGCTGGATATTCATGTCTGGTCATCCTTATAGAAGAGATCTGGACAGATGTTATTTTGGGAGTCGTTGGTATATAGGGTAGCTAAAGCCACCAGAATGAACGGAACCGAGGGAG